GTCTTTCTGCCTTGTAGTGGCTAGTGGGTTTCAACTGCTGACCTTGACCTTTCAGCTGGAGGACACTTAACCCACGGTTGTCCATCTGGAACAATGTCTCAGTCTATCGTTGACATCAACATTCGTAAGAGTATAGGCTAGTTATTTTGTAGCGCATCCTTCTATTTGAGCCTGTCTTATGTTTCCCTATGATTACCATCAGGTTGTACGCTGGCAATTAGAATGCCCATTTGCTGGAGTAAATGTGCCCTCGGTGCATCACCTGGGGAGACACGGATGATGGTTTGCCGCAGGACTGTTGACGTTAAGGTGGTATCTATCAGATGCCTCCACCTCAGAGCTTTCATTTCCCCCTTTGCATTAATCTGTGGGAGATACATTGAGTGTACATATCCTATTCCTGTATATGCATATCTTATGTTCCTGCCTGTATAGTATACATAGCCTCTTCTTCATCAGACATTTATCCAAATTTAAGCATCCATCTGTTTTTTTATTTTTCTGGGCAATAAGTCTTGTCCATCTTAGTTGCCACTGCACCCTCTGCACCTGGTACAAGGCCTGTCTCTTAGTAGGTGTGCAGGTAATACTTCCCAAGTAAATGAAGGCCTCTATCTTGCAACCCAGTTACACACTCTGGTTCTTTAAAGGATTAAGTGGGTGGGGTGGCCTTATCCTGTGTCCCCTGTGGGTGTGGGTGTGGGGGGATGGGGAAGGGATGTCTCTAACTGCAGTTAGGTTCAGTTCCCTCTAGGGTGCCTTTTCAAGGTGATCCTTTGTCTGCAGGCCTCAGTCCACAGTCAAGGGCAGGACATGCATCCAGTGGTGAGTGAATATCAAGCACCCTCTTTGGAGTGTCAGTGTCTCCAGCCGCTGCCTGGGGTAACTTCCCTGAAGTGCGAACCTCCAGAGTGTCACTTGCAAGAAGGAAGTGGTGAGTGCCAGCGAGATCGCCAACTGCCCCACAGTCTTTTATGTGGCCTTAAGTTTTATTTTTGTGTTTGTTTTGTTTTCCAGCCCTGTATCCATACACGTTTTTAAAAAAGAATTATAGAATGTTAAATTTTAGAAACCATCTCATCCAAAGAGCGTACATGACCTACCCACAGTCAACAGGCAGAGCCACTTCCAGGATTTAAATCATCAACCCACTGACCAAAACTCAGGACGCTCTCTTCATTTCCAAGAACATTTTATATCCTTAACAAAACAAAACAAAAAAGCCCTATCATTTAAAAAAAAATAATCATTTTATTAGGGGCTCATACAACGCATCACAATCTGTACATACGTCATCTGTGTCCAGCACTTTAGTACATATGTTGACTTCATCATTCTTACGATACCCACTTTCCACTTGAGCCCCTGGTGTCAGCTCATTTCCCCCCCTCCCTCCCCCCTCCCCAGTCCCCCCTCCCTCTGATAATTTATAATTTATTATTATTTTATCATATCTTACCCCATCCAACGTCTCCCTCACCCACTTCTCCGCTGTCCATCCCCCAGGGAGGAGGCCACATGCAGACCTTGTCATCTGTTCCCCCTTTCTCCCTCTCCTTCCCTCCACCCTCCCGCCATCGCCACTCTCTCCACTGGTCCTGGGGGGTTCATCTGTCCTCGGTTCACTGTATTTCCAGTTCCTATCTGTGCCAGTGCACCTCCTCCAGTCCAGCTGGATATGTAAGATAGAATTGGGATCATGGTAGTGGGGTGGAGGAAGCATTTAAGAATCAGAGTAAAATTGCATATTTCATCGTTACTACACTGCACTCCGATTAAGCCTCTATCATTAAGCCCATTCTGACTCCTCGCGACGCTGTGTCTGTCAGCTCTCACAGTGGCCTCAGAAGTGTCTCAAGGCCCTTCAGCAGTGCCACCTCCAGTCAGGTGGGCTCCAACCTCTGACTTTCGGGAAGCAGCCAAGTGCCGAGTTCTTTGCAACACAAAGGCTCTCCTTATTTCTCCTTTATTTAAAACATTGTATTGCGTTTTTGGTGCAAGTTATTGTAGCAGTTTAGCTTCTCGCTCAATAGTTTGGCGCATATAATTCATTGCCTTGGTTACAGTTCCCACATCCTTATTTCTGTTGTGCTTGTTTCCATTCATCTTGCTTGGTCTAGGGCTCATTTGTAACATTTGGTTTTCTTTAGGTAATTATTTTGAAATGCACATACTCAGGGTGTTATTTATTTTATCAACAAACCTTTTATTTGACTGAAAGTCGACCTCTGCGAGTGGTTTCATCCATAAGTTTAAGGAGTCTCCTAGAGCAAGAGCCTTGAGGAGTCCTGTAGTCTCTACCTGTCCGGTTAAGCCTGGCTTTCTTGTTTTTAGGAATTTGAGTTCTGCTCTACATCTTTTTCCCATTCTATACAGGACCATATATTTTGCTCCAGGTTGCAGTGGTCCCTAGTGGTAGACAGGCACCATCTAGTTCTTTGGGTCTTAAGGTAGATAAGACCATGGTTTGTATGGACCATTGGTTCCAAAATGTATTTAGTCTACTGCCCCTTTTTAGCAACAAACAAACTTAGAGTTCCACTGGCAAGGAAAAACGTTTGTACTATAATCCATAATCCACAATAAGGTGTAGGTTTCTAAGTTTGTAGCCCCTTCATATTGTTTCAATGAATGCCCCCTGGGAGACAATATATCCCACTTCAGATATCAGAATGCCTCCACTTTGTGTCTATACTCAGTTTAATTGCACCTTCAGTTGCTGCAATATTGCATTCAAGTACTCTTCAAATATATAGTATGAAATTGCTAGAAAATTGTAGAATGATTCAAATTAGTCAAATATCTAGAGTTCTGGTGTAGACTGTTGGTACTTGTGTTAGGCTGGGTTGTCTAGAGAAAGAAAATCAGAGACACTCATTTATGCATAAGAAAGAGCTTTATATCAAGAAGTAATCTTCTATCAAGATGGCATCCCAGTCCAGTCCAACTCAAGTCAACAAGTTTGATGCAAGCTGGGGACCTCTTCAGACCCATCAGTGATGCAGAAAGGTGAAGCAGGGTGTCGGAAGTCACAAGTCAGGTGGTGCAGAGTTGTTTGGTCAGTGGAAATAAGGCAGGTCAAACAGCCCCAGGCAGACACAGAGTCTCAGCAAGCAGGAAAACAGGGACTGACTGAGAGTTCCCGATTGCTCCCTTATAAGCAGGCCACGCCTCCCAGGAGGCATCATCAGGCTGCATCCTAATGTACAGATTGGCCTCCACCCTCCACTTCCACACAATGCAAGTTGACATAAAGTCATCCAACCACCACAGACTGCTGTCATCCTGTACTGGAGTTTCGTCATTGAGTCTTTGACTTCCTTCTTTCTCTTTGTCCTTGAACACGTCTCCTCATATCTCCTCCTATCTTGCCACCCCCTCCCAAGTGTTTGGAGGATCTGGTTAAGGGACTACATACAAAGGACGTGTTATAAGCCAAGGCCCTCTGGACCCTTCCCTTCTGCACTGATCTCCGTATGGCTGCAGGGTCTGGTTGCTTAGGGAAGTGTTGGGTGCAGGGAAGGAGATGACCCACTGGACGCAGAGCTTTCAATTTCCAAGCAGGCTATTGGGACTCGATCATTAGAAAAATGTGCCGTTGGAGATTGACATGTTTTTGTATTTTTTTAATAAAAAAGACGTGTTTTTCCCCATTCAGTCTTTTTATTTTACACATCATTGTAGACAGGGGCTTATGGTCCCGTGTGCACCTTTATAAAAATAGCGTTCCTCTTTTGTGACAAGTACTTCCACAACTTTAAATAATGATTGCTTTACGTTTTAAAGTCTTTTGAAGAATCCGCAGTTGTTACCCTTCTGCATTCTGTTTTTCAGAAAGCACTTATTTTGGAGGTATTTCTGTTCCTTTTTCTTTTATTTTCAGAAGCAGAAGATGGTTTTGTATCTTGTCTTTTTTTTTCTTTTCTTCAGACAGCTAAGAGGATTGGGGCCACTGATCTTTCTGTGCTCTCTCCTCCTCTGCCCAGGCTTCCTCGCTAGCCCCTCCCTGTTCTTTGAGTTGCTGGATGCTCTGATTCTCATGCCTGGAGACAAGCTGACTGGTTTGGGGAGAAGGATCGTCTAGGACTCTCATGTTCTGTGTAATAAACAGGAGAGGAACTGCAGGCCTTTTCTTGATTTTCACAGACACATTCTGATCGGACCATGAAAAGCATGCATTCGGGTCCACTCACTTGAAATGGGGACCACGTGGAACTTGGCATTTTTGTGCAATCAATTTTGTCCCATATAATTCCTTTCCCAGTGTTTCTAACTCCTTTAACATACACCTGGTGGCACACAGCTGTGTCTCGACCATGAGGGAGCGGAACCGCTGCTCCCACAGCTGGATGTGGCCCTGCAGCCCCACCTGGCAGAAGGTGAGGGCTGGCAACAGCTGGTAGGGCTCTCAAACTGCAATTGTCGCAGAAGAAGCCGAGATGCTTCTGGCATGTTTCTGTCTCGTGATCTTCATGTTTGGCCTCCTGGAACAAACCAAAAAGATTATTTACAGCAATTGTATTTTCTGTGTGTATGAGTGCGGTACAGCATCCTGTCATGCAGTATGAGATTTAGAGGAACCCCCCTGAGGATGTTGGTTTCTTTAGTCTCCTAATGCTTGACTGCTGACACCTGATGCTTCCTGTCAAACGCATTGCCTGTTTGAATATGTTGATGGAGGAGTGAAAGGGAGCATGGGACATCATCAGTTCATTGCAGCTTATTCCCATTTTCTTCTCTTCTGTCTTTGGCAGTGGTAGGAGTGGTGGATCCGTATGCTGTTTAAAATGAACTTGCATATATGGGAAAGTATTCCTCTACGTCTTTCCTAGGCTTAACTCTGTTGCTGGCCCAGCTTAGAAGGATGTTAAGGAGCAAGCACAAGGTCTGATTGGGCCTTGGTTCTCACAGATTCTCCATTCTCTTTGTCCCTTTTACTTCTCCCTCCTTGTTGCCTTGTCTTTGCCCCCTTCCATTTCTGTTGTCACCCTTTCCTGTCACAACTCATAGCCCTTTCTTTGGGAGCAGGCTTGCTTCCCCTGTTGGGTTGGGTGTGTGTGCACCATGGGGGAGGTAAGTAGTAACTATGAATTAGAGACACAGCTGTTATTTCCAACAAGCTTTCTTCTAGCCGCACAGTGCCTGGTACTATGCAGACACCATCACTGTTTGGATTATTGTTGTTTCCTTTGGGACCAACAGCTCCCAACATGGACGATTCACACAGGTCCTTTCAGGCCATAGGTAATATCTCTTCCCTTTCATCTCTATTTCCTTGCCCTTTTTTTTTCATGTGTCGCTCCTTTTTTGCTACCTTTCACCCGGGTGGCTCATCTTTCCACTCTCCACTACTTTTCTTCCATCTCTTTCTTTGCTTAATCTTGCCTTTATAATCAACTCCTTTCTCCCCTCTCATTCTCTTCGTCTCTTTTGTTTGAAATTTTCTTCATGTGTGGTAGTACATTACTGTAGAACACCTCACAAGTTCATGAACCTCACACAGTTTTGTGGGTGGGAAACCCTGAAGTTGTAGAATTTTAGAATTACTGAGAGAATGAAAATAGTTGTGACACTTTGTTGCAAATGGTAAGATCTGAAAGTATAGGAACATTGTCTCCTCTCCATCTTAGTTCTTGAGTGTCGAACACAAAAAGGGTTTTGAGGCCCATTCCCCACATAGGGCATTCCTAAAGGTAGCAGTGTCTCACCCAGGATTCTCATCTCCTTTCACAGAGCCTGCGCCCCAGCAGCCAGCTCTCCAGCGGAAGACACCTGGAGACAAGGCAGCAGTGACTGTGGTCAACTCAGCCAAGTTGCAGGTAAGCAGGATGGTGGGACCTTCAATACAGGGCCCCACCCCCACCCCACCCCGCCACCCCTATTTTCTTAATCACCTCCTGACCTTTGAGAGCCTTCTTTCAGGTGGTACAGTCCCCCCTCCTCTGCTTGGTACAGAACATCCCAGGCCATGTGCACATCCCCCAGAGAGCTCTTATTGAGTGTGTGCTACTGCCACATTCTGTACTGTAGTCCTGGGGAAAGAACTAGACTCAATTACGGATTATGGGACTAAGGGGAGGAGTCGGTCACCTGGTTTCATAAAGGACCCCTACTTGCTGATGCTGAGGGACTGATACCTGGCTTTTGAGATCTCTAATTTCTCTCACACAAGAACCAGGGCTTTTCCCCTCACCTTTACCTTCTCAGTGTTCAGCATATGCCCAGTTATTACTCGTGATGACGATGATGACATTTTGTATCTCCAAGACAAAACTTCATCTTTTAAACAAAATGAACTGTTACTCTCTCTCTCTCTCTCTCTCTCTCTCTCACACACACACACACACACACCTTTTTTATTCTGTGACCCTTTCACGGTCACTAAGAGTCAGAATTAATTCAATGACAGTGAGTTTGGTTTTTCATTCCGTGGGAAGGTCAATCATTTTCCTAGTTATTTAGGTTTTCAAACAATGTTAAGTCTCTCTCTCACCTATGCCCTCTTGCACATTCCTGCAAGATCAATTTTCTCCAGTCTGTCCTTTCATCAAGCCTGTTTTTATCCCCCAAATATTTTATCTCCCCAAAAAGAAATATACAGAAAACAAAACCTACTTTTACATATATTTTTAATATGTGTGCTGCCGAAGCGAGCACTACATATATATATATATATTTTAAATCAACAGAGTTTCCTTAATGACAATATGATGGTAATACCAAGAAAAAGAATTTAATTTTCAAAAACAGTATGAATTTTTTGTACACACTAGGCCAGAAGAAATTACAAAAGAGTCGTTTTTTGGCACTAATGAATGATCAAGTTTAGCCCGAAGAGAAGCATTAAAGTCAGAACTCCAGGAGGAGGAAAGGGCACAGTGGAGGAGAGAATGGAGACTGGTGTTGCATCAGATAATGAAAGGTCAGGCAGTGAAGGAAGGAAGTAGCCCTCAGTGAAGTCAAGCTGTCGCGTGGAGGTAAATGGCAGATGGGCAAAAGGAAGAAACGAAGGAGACAGCCCACACTTTAAAACGAGGTGAATAGTTTGGTGCCCAAACTCTTCTCTGTGTGCAGTGTGTGGCGGCAGGTTAGTGTGTTGGTCAAGGTAAACTAGAGAAACAAATTCATAGACACACTGATGTGTCAAGAGCAATTGAATATTGAGAAACCATCCCAGCCCAGTCCACATCAAGTCCATAAGTCTGATATTAGCCCATATGTCTGATGCCTGTCTATAAAGTCCTCTTCAGACTCATGAACCACATGCAATGACACTGAATGCCGGAAGATCACAGGCCAGTGGGTGGGAAGTCTTGTAGATCCAGTGGCAGTGGAAGCATCTCAGTGCTGGCAGGGGTCTCCACGTGGTTCCTCCAGCTCAGGGCACTTGAGTACTCCCATGTATCTTGTCATCTGTAATGTCTCCCAGGGAGTGAGTGTTCTCAGTAGAAAGTCTCCAAGGGAGTGAATCAGTGTCCTGCCTCCAAGAGCTATTTCTCTCCTTCATGCCTCCAAATAAGGACATCAAGCTGTGGCCTGATTGACAGGCTAACCTCCACCCCTTCGCTCTTAATCCTCAGATTGTTACCAGATGATGTAACTACCACAGTTAGTGATGAGGCACTGAAGAAACATCACGCACAAAGAAACATCACTGCTTGTTTAAATAGGCATTCATTCTGTAACAGACCAGGCACTGTGTTCAATGTCAAGCAGCGAGAAAGAAAGGGTTGATTGAGAATTGAAATAGGAAATTAAATGCTTAAGGAATATGGGAAACAGAACTGGGAGGAGAAAGTATGTGGACAAACTACTAATGCATTAAGGAATCGTGGAGGCTGGGCCTCCTGTGGGGGAGACCTTCACGTTCATAATTTGGAGATGCATTTCAGTCACATTCTTCTATGTCAAAATTATTCCCCATGATGTTCCCCCACAATAATGCCAATTTGAAGGTGCTGTTTGCAAATACATGGTCACTTACTATACTTTGGAAGGTCAGCTTCTTGAAGACTGTCTACCTGAAGGTTATCTGCCACCAAAAGCAGTCAAGCCATCTAACCCTAACTACTGTGGCCCACTCCCTTCTGATGAGGATCCTAGATTAAGGTGACCAGACGTCCCGCTTTTAGTGGGACAGTCCCAATTTTTAACAATTTTTCCTGCATCCCGTGGCATTTTTTAAAAGTCCCGATTTTTGGAAAGAATGCATGACAAGCTAGGGTATATGGTTTTCGGCTGCCATGTGGCTATTTCGCCAGGATATGAGTTTTATTAATGGTGTCCCACTTTTGTCCTGCTTTACCAATGTTAACACCTAGTCACCTTATCCTGGATTATTCTCCTGAAGAAGAGTTCAGACATCGAAGGTCAAACCAGCTCAGAGATGACCAAGGTTACACTACCATCTTAGCTCTGGAACCCCCCAACCCCCATCTTGTTACACGTGTATCTCCTTGTCACATGTATGCCTCTTGTGCTTCCCCTTCCTATTGCGTGTATCCCTAGCTCATCCCCCTCATGTTACACATATACCTCTAATATAGTGGTTCTCAACTTTCCTAATGCCGTGGCCCTTCAATACAGTTCCTCATGTGGTGATGCCCCCAACCATAAAATTATTTTTGTTGCTACTTCATCACTGTAATTTTGCTACTGTTATGAATCGGGTGACCCCTGTGAAACCAAAGGGGTCGCGACCCACAGGTTGAGAACTGCTGCTCTAATACAGCCACTCCTGTTATGTGTGTGCTCACTGTGGCTTGCATGCCTGAGATTATATAAGCTCGTGAGAGAATACAGTTAAGGCTTCATTTTGGTTCTGGTCCATGTGGAAGAGGTGAGTCCTTGTATGCCTTGCTTCATGTCTCTTTAATTGACCCCTCAAGCACACAACACCCCCTTGGACGCATCGGGTGTGGACACTGGTCCCCCACAAAGGAAAGTCCATATAGCAGACCTTTGGGGGGCCAATGCTACACAAAGACAAGAAATAATTGGCAACTCCCCAAATAAGTCATTTCCAGGTCTAAGTTTTACAACCTAGATATCTCACTGTGCTAGATTAGAAATATTGAAACAGCCATTTTAAATGAAACAAGTGAGAGCGCTGTGCCTACCGTAGGTTCCAGGTCTGTTCAAAGAAGTCTCAGAACTCCTTTGTTTCCTATTGATACTCAGTTGAATTACACTTCCAGTAGCTGCAATATGGCTTTGAAGTACCCTTCAAAGACATAGTATGAACATGCTAGAAAATTGTACAATGATTCAAATGAATCAAGTAACTTTTGAGACGCTGTCATACTTCAAAGGAACCAATTCATCAACCTTTAAGACATGATCTTTATGCCATGAAGCTTGTTTCTCCAGAACCTCCTGACTTACGGGCTTTTAAATATTATTCTGTAAAAACTTTTCAGGAGTCTGATACTCTTCAGGACCAAGAGTTTATGTTTATTTTAGACTTAGTCCAGCAGGACCCTGGATAGTGAGCAGTCAACACTGAGACACTGAACAGAGATAGGATTGAGACAAAGAACGTGAGGTTAAAAGCAGCTTTATTAGGGTAGGAAAGAGCTCCCGGGAGGGAAGGGACAGCAGAGAAAGGGACAGGAGCATCTTGAACTCCTGGGCAGTTCTGAGACCCAATGAGGTAGGTCAGGGAAATCGCAGCTTGTCAGTGAGGCGGTGGGAGATATATAGGGCTTGAGCTAGGGAGGTATACGTTGACAAGAAGGGAGATTTTTTATCGCAGCTGCAGGACCTTGAGTCAGGATGCCATCCTTTGTTGTTTGCCAGCCTACTCCCTGGAGTGCTGGGACAGGGGCTGCACAAACTTGGTCTGGAGCGATATGCTCCTTGGAATGTTGGTGCAGAAGATGCATACTTCAATAGGTCAGTCATCTTCCCGAGAGGCTGGAAATGGGAGCCTTGAAGTTCTATCTTCCTGAGGAGCTGGAGAGGAGATGGGAATTGCCTAGTCCAGACCAACCCAAACAGATAGTTGTGCAGGGTGTAGGGTAGTTCTTTGTAGTGTGGAACTGTCTCACACTTTGTAGTGTGGGGTCCAGCTCCCCCTTGAATGGGTCCTTAGAACATATACAGTTAAAACAAGGCACAGGATTCTGTCTCCAATGGTGGGTGAAGGGCAGTTTGGAGATTATTCCACCATGGGGTTGTAGAGTGATGAGGGCTGCAGGCCTCCATTCAGCTTATACACAATACATAGTCCTTCCGTGTCTTGAACTTGGATGTCTGAGCACTCTAGTGTATGGTGACCAGATTTAAAGTGGGACACCATTGACTGAGGGTGGGGTTGGGGGTGGGGTGGTGGGGTTCTTGATTAAAAATTTGGTCTATATGGACCAAATAGACCATTCCCTAGCTTGTAGTGCATTCTTTCTAAAAAATCTGGACTTTTTTAAAACGCCAAAAATCGGACTGTCCCACCCAAAGCGGGATGTCTGGTCACCTTACTCTAGGGGAATACCCCATATTTAAGAGACAAAAGGAGCAGATCACTCCTTGAATGGGAGGGACAAAGAGCATCTGATTGCGCTTAAAGATAAGCATACTGTAGCTGGATACTGAGTAGCCAAGTGCCCTTAGGAAACAACTTTCTATTAGCATTTTGATGGAAGGAAGTTGTGGAGACCTCTTTCTGTCTGGAGAAAGTGTAATTGGCATTATACCTCTCTCAGAACTGAGCTGGTCTTCCAGGTCCTGTGGCCAGGAGTACAGAGACTAGGTTACATACACTCTCTTCCAGGTCCTCAGTTTTCTACATTGCAGGATGTTAGTCCTTGGCAGGAGGTGGTAGATGGCATCATCATTATAACATGAAAAGGTTTCATAAATTAACACAGTACCCTGAGTGGTTCATGTTACGGGTCTATAGTGTGGTATTCAACACTCTTCATAACTGGACCCGTTATCGTTCCTACATTGAAAAACAAAGAAATAATTTCTTTTCAGGTATTGGTGAAGACTGAAGAAGCAGCCATCTGGACCCTTGTCCCACCGGAAGGGCCACATCTGGGTCTAGCTCAGAGGACCCTCCCTGGAAACTCAGTACCGGAGAATGTGACCAGTCTCAGTCTGATGAGTAAGGACAGACCTTTGGCCAGTCCCTCCCTGTGTGTCCTCACTGTCTTCCATCATTAGCTGGATAACTCCTTGTGCCCCCCTGTCTTCTACAAGCCCTAACCCTTTCTTCTCCTCCTCGTAGCCTCCAGACAGAGCTCAGCCCCTATTCTTTCTTTCTTTCCTCCTTTTTTTAAACACATTTTATTAGGAGCTCTTACAGATATTATTACAATCCATGCTTCCATTAGATCAAGCATCAGATCAAGCAATAGTTGCACAATTGCTGCCATGATCATTTTCCAAACATTTTCTTTCTTCTTGAATTCCTTGTTATCAACTCCCCCTGCTGACCTCACCCCTGAACCCTTAATATATTATTATAGTTATTATTGGGTTGTTGTTGTTGTTTTCTGCCATAACTTACACCATCCAATGTATCCCTTCACCTAAAATGTTGTTGTTTATTCCCCCCTAGTGGGCAGCCCTATTCTTCTCTGTTCCTCTCAGTTGATTCTCCCAGCTTGTTGATTCTTGCTATTTTCTCTGATCATCCCACTGTATTCCTTGATTTCTTAGCAACTCCTCCTTTGCTTCCCAGTCAAGGGTTATATGTAACTTATTGTTTGTAGACATTCCTTCATACCCGGAAATCCCGTGTTCTCCTTTACCTACTTTCCTATAAAAGAGCTTTTCTTCACTACGAGAGTGCTACTGTACACGTGGAATTTTTTACCCAAATGTACTTTTTCTTGTGAGATCTGCTCCTTAGCTGGGCCCCGGTGACCCCTTTTAATGATTTCGCTCTCTCTCTCTTTTTTTTAACATTTAATTCATGGACCATACAATTCAGTGGGATGAATATATTTCAGCAAGTTGTGCATTCATCGCCACAGTCAATTTTAAAACACCTTATTTATTTTTGTACTCATTATTATTAGTTCTCCACCTTTCTCCCAACCTCCTCTGCCATAACCCTAAGAAACTATTAATCTAGTTATTGTCTCTATAGATTTACCTATTATGGATTTCGTATAAATAAGATCATGCAACCCCCCGCCCCCACCCCCAAACAAAATAAAACAGAAACCTCAATCTAAAACAAAGCAGAAAATAATAAAAAGTACAATAAATGAAAGATGAGTCCTAAGGGAAAACAATGATAACATGTTAAATTTTAATCTATCTCAGCATTCATTGATTTCCTATGTGCTTTGTTTGAGAGCAAAGCTGTGTACATCCCTAGTCAATGGACATAGGGGATTCATCAGAGGCTTCATGTACATGGGGACTCTGCAAATGTATTTTGGGCTTTCACTCTCATCCAAAGCTTTCTGCAAACTGGGTGCTCAGAATTTAAACTCTAATACAATTCCTGCCTCTGACTTTGCATTTTAATGTTTAAAATGCTTGGATCAAATAGGTTGGTGTGCTTCTTCCATGTGCACTTAGCTAAGCTTTTTAGGCCCCAGACACGAATCTTTCTGAGAGCGGGGCTCCATCTGAGGTCTTTACCACCCCTTGCTATACCACCTATATCTTCAGGGATCCTTTCATGGGAGTAAGTATTGAGCATGACAACAAAATAAGAACTGATTGCTCTTAGATTAGGGCTTATGTGATGTGAGAGCTCCTAATCCATTCATACATCTAAGGTTGATATATATCCCTGTTCTAATTTCCTGGCAGCATTATCAGCATTGTGAAAGATAATGTAAGTACCCTCCATGCCTTTGGTAATTCTAATAAAAGTATCATTAAACTAACCAGTGATATAGACTTTATAATACTATTGCGATAAGGGGAATATTCATATATGGGAAGGCGTTTTTAGACTAAAATACATGAGATATGTCCACTTATACATATTAAAAACTTTAAGTGACTGAATCCTGTTTAAGAAAACAATGAGAGTTACACATAGAGCACAGAGTTCAATAAGAATCATTCACTATGGCAAGACTATGTCTGTAAAGCTAAGACACATCTTCTAAAGCGAACAGCATATGCAAGTGGCAAATATATGGTATTCTTAAAGTGTCTATTATTGGGTAACCTTAAAGGCAAGAGGTTTGAACCAAAGCCAAAGGACTTCAAAATCCACAACTTTGGGGTAGCAATCTTCTCCTCTCATTAGGGTGTAACAGCTTTAAGCTCAAAGTATATCCGTTCCTTTAATGTGCATTCAGTGTGTCTAAGGTAAAGTGTCGTTCACTTGTGGGTTTTCCTATTTGGATCCTTCTAATACGGTGTATATTTATGCTATACACCTGGAGAAGACAAAAATCTAAAGATCAGCCACCTATAATTTGGGCCCTGAGTCACCAAGGGATAAAAAGAAACTCAGTTAAAAATTCAAGGTTAGCCATATCATATAGGATGGATTCTACCTTGGGGATCATAAAATTACTTCATTATCTTTCAAAATTGTGTCACATTTTGTATGCTTGCTAAGACAATAAACACCTGGAACTCCTGTTGATTTGCAGTTTGATTTGTTTTTTGTTTGTTTGTTTGTTTTAATTTAGAACACCCTATGTTATTTTTTTAAAATCAGGGCTCAGATGACATTAAAATCCTTAATACATTTTTTTAGGTGAAGAGAGTGTGACCGAAGATGGATTGTTTTATACAAAGCAGGAAATGTCGACAGAATTGGACCCAGGTGGGGGAACCCCAGGAATACCCAGCAGGTGAGTGTCATGGTGCTGAGTAGAACTAATCCTAGAGGTGGACAAAGGAATGACGATGGCATCAAAGGACCTAAATGATCAGAAGCCTGCTTTCTTAGATTTTCCACATCACAGAAAGAGCGCCGCTCACACTCACCTCTGTGGTGACAGGAGTTCCCATGCTAAGAACGTGACCTCTCAACTTAGAACTACTCAAAACTACTCACTTGAAGCACCACCCTTTGTTGCACCCAAGAATCCTAGCCTGAACTAAACTACCCTGCATGTTCACTCTTCACTGGGCAGCCTTTTGTTGTTGTCCAGAAGGCTGAGAATTTAGAGTGTAGGCTTCTGGTGAGGCTGACATGACGGTTAAGGAAGAAATAGCAGACTTGGAAGATAAATTAGGTTGAATAAGTATAGACTGTTGTCAACTTTCATTCAAGAGAGTCCTGAACAACAACAACAACATTAAAAGGAAAGTGGATGGTGGAGAAATCAAAGTTAGTAATTGATGCTTAGTAAGTGTAGGTTGTATGGATGAATGACTGTGTAACAGTGATGGTCCTAGTGTGGAAAGACCGGGACAAGAGCCCTTCAGTGGATTGATTTCTGGTGGAGCCATTAATTCCTCCAAGACTTAAGAGAAAAGGAGAAAGGAAATAATGTGATAATAAGTATGATGATCAGGACAGTTGGAGATTTTTATTAGCATTTGTTACTCCCATGGAAAAAGGGAGATAAATTTCACCTGAAATACCTTGAAGTTTAAGAAGAGAAATGAAGCTTCATAAACTTGGTGAGCTCTAGGCTGAGAAGGGTAACTAACTCTCAGTGACTGTGCAGTGATGTCTGGAGATTAGGAATGTGGTCACTGCGCTTGCTGGCTGCATTCAGCCTCGGTGACGGAAACTGTATCTCAAGGATAAAGACATTTAACTGCTTCCTGTGACATTAAGTCTGAAGATAGTCTGTTCCAGGTTTATACAACAGCTCACCCCACCATAATGGATGTAATAGAGATCCATTATTAATATGTGACATGTAAAATAGCCATTTCTTGTGCACGTGTGTAAAATTCACTTAAATAGTATTATTAATAGGTATTATTGTTTCTTACTCTTTCAGTCAATATAAAGTTTGAAGATACATCTAATTTCTAGCTATACTTTGATTCCTTTACTTATAACCATTCCATGGCACTCCATCTTATACATCTACCATGTTTTTCCTATCAGCTTCCCCAAAGATGGTCACCCAGATTGCCTCTAGCTCTCCACCAACATGCTCAGTGCTATAGTAGTGCTCCTCAAACCTGCCCTCTGCTTGAGAATTCTTTGGGAATAAATACCCAGGAACAGGATAACTATCATAGGACACGATTTTACTAAATTTAATTTAGATCTGCTAACCTGACTTCTATACTCCCGGGACAGTTGATGAAGGTTCCTTTATCATTTCTAATCCCCTCCAGTATTTGGGGTGATCTAGTTTTCTGATTTGGGGTCCACACTCTTGCTCTCTTCCTGTACTATAACACTAAGTATATTGTTTTATTGATTTTTAACCACATGATGACTCTGCAGCTCAAGCTATTATGACTTTGTTTAATGCAGATCGAAGGAGAAGATATCTTTTGCCTTATTTGCCCCTGATTTGAAATCATAAGCCATTCAGAAACCCCCAATAGCCTTGCCCTTATTCTCATTGTTTGAAATTGCGAATCACATGGCTATCCTAGTAGCTATAAAGGAGGCCAGGAAATTGCGTATCTTGCAAGGGGGAATGGGATTATCATGACTTATTGAGACCAATCATAATTCATCGCTTGAGCTTGGCTGCATCAGTGTCCCAAACAGAATCTGGCTGGCGGTTGAGAGGAAAGGGGCAGACGATGTTGGCAGGAAGACGACAGTCGACAGTGGTTGTGGAGCATATTATTGGGTATCTGAAACCTGATTTCATAGGATGTCACAGGCTGAGACTAAGTAGAGGGAGGTATGGATAGAGATTTAGGTTTGGAAAATCAAATGATGAACTGACAAGCAAGGAGAAATCAAAGAATACTCAGATTAAGAAGACTTTGAATATGACTGGTCACATGTTTGCTGACTATGTGGGCATAGGAAAGGAACATTATGAAATGTACTAAAAGTGAGACACTTCTAGTGTAAGCTTGGGGAAAAAATTCACACATAATAGAGTTCCTACCCTTCATCCAAGAGCCCTGGTGGTCCAGGGGCTAAGTGCTTTTCTGCTAAATGGAACTTTGAGGGTCAGCAGTTTGAACCCACCAGTCGTTCTATCAGAGCAAGATGTGGCCATCTGCTCCTGTAAAGATTACAGCCTTGGAAACCTCATGGGGAAGTTCTACTCTTTCCTAGAAGATCAGCTTGCATTGGAATAATGTGATAATGGTTTGGGGTTTCGGCTTTACCCTCAACAAGTCACCTGAGGAGAGAGGTATTGCAGATAAGGAGACTCAACTGCAGTGCTGTATGATGTAGTATCCTTGTTGCTACAACAGACCTGCGACAACAGGAGGCATCTGAGACTTGAATATCTGAGAAAGGAGATGACATCTAAGACAAGACTTGATAAGTAAGTAGGAATTTCCTAGATAAAGAGAAAGTTGAAAGAGGCAGACAAATGGAATTACAAATGCCTAGAGAGCATAGGAGAAGAACTAGGCTAATGTGGAGTCACTGGAACCACAGAAGAAGACAGTTTCAAAGAACACATTTCTGCTTGAAAAATGATGAGTCCTTTTTGGAGTCGGGTGAGAAGTCATCTGTTTAATTCTTCTATTGTAGTGTGTTTGGTTTTTGTGTTGCTGTTTGCAGTTTTTGCTCTACAGCATGTAGTGAGATTACTAGCTTTTCTATTGTTTCTCTCAGACCCTTCCTTCAGCTGTTACATAAGTGCCATAATCATTCTTTTACATTCTTTTTCTGGTAAATCCGTGGCCTGTTCAATTTCAGGCATTACATTCAGGCCTGTTCAAATTCAGGCATAACCCAATATATGGGTATTCGGTTATTTGTTTCTTTTCCTTGTTTTTGTGTGTGTGCACCGATATCTCCCGTTGTTTCCTTGACATCTTGGAGTCACTATAGGGGTGTAGGTAGGTGGTGTCATGTGGCAGTGGTTAACTCTGTTAGGTGGTCAATAGAAGGGTGTGGGCAGTTTGTATTAAGTATCTGGGAGAGAGTGTTAAATTAGGTATTAGGGGAGCATTCAGAGTGGTTTATTCTTTAGACATAATAAGTGAAGTGTAAATTTCTAGAATTAAAAAAAAGGTGTTTAAGAGTTTTCATTTTAATCCAGGGAATCCAGGG